AGTTTCAACCTCTCCTGGGTCTCATCAGCCTCCCTATCGGTACCCGAACACGAGTTGCGGTAATGCAGCGTATCGTCTCGATGCGCTAACCACTATGCCACATAGGCATGAGTGCCTCTGCGTTAAATTGTAGGAACAATGAACTACCAGTTTTCCTTCACCTTTTACGACCTAAGGTGAACAAAGCTCTTATTCAAGAGCTACTGATAATTTCATAAACCTACTCAATATTATTTCATTTGATTCATCCAGGCTCAATTACACTTTAAAGTGGCTAGTTAATGGAACAGGCTGCCTCCGTACTTTTGATGGACCTTTTCATAATTCAGGCTTACTAACAATCAGTGAAAATTCTGGAAATGTACCAAATTAATACGTATGTGACGCGTCGTTAACTGACCAGAGGAAGTAAATTTGGATGAGTCATTGTCAAGTGCCATAAAAATAGGTTCATGTCGATGTATCATGGACAGGCGGGATATGAAACAAAATAATGACTCCATCATATCCAATGATAGGAGGGGGTTGGGATCATAATAGCATTACAAGATGTGCTGACGATTACTTCGAAGAGGCCTTTCAATAAGACTGATTTCTTTTAATTTTAATATTCTGAGTTCTTTTGATTCTGCTTCGAAATTCAATTCTGTTGATATTCATGGGTTGATCTGCTATCGTTTGACTTTACCGGGACGCTCAGGTTGCCGAAGTCCTCGAAACACCCTCCTTCGGCTCTGGTGAAGAACATGATGATCGAGGGGAATCCGCCGTTGTTTTGTGTTGGGAGTGAGCTGCGAATTTCTTCAAAAAATTTCTTATTAAATGAAATGGATGTGAGCGAGGGTAGCTAACTTCCTATTCAACGATTACTTATAGTTTCGAAACCTACTCAAATAAAAAATAAGTAGCGCCATCAATTATAATGACAAATACTTGTTTTTTTAATCGCTATTCGGACAATAAATGTGATTTGAGAGAAGCTTGGTTTGCTTCAAAATGTTACACCTGCCCCTTACAATCATGGCTGTGTAGTCGAGTGGCAACATCACCACGATACTCACGAGTCGACATCGAATCCCGCTGGGGATGCTAATGAGACCGGGACTGGGTCGAACTTGCAGTACAGTTAAGACAAGGTTAAGTGAAATTATTGAGCTTACTTCCATTTCGAGTGAAAGTATTGGGTGAAGAGATTCGAAGATCGGTTCCACCAGAAGACGACGGCGGATTCCTCTTAACCAACTGTCGATTGTCTTTACTGGAAGATTCATTCTGACGCTGTTTCCGAGGCGATCTCCTTCGATTCAAGTGAAAAGGTGCTAACCTTTCGTCCGTCATATGACGAACAGCATCAGAGCAAGGTATCATCCTCACAACAAAATTTAAGTTAACGAGTCAATGGGTAATCAAACCTTGATGGCCAAAAACAGACGTTCCTTTTTGCTGTCCTTATTACTTTGAGCCATCGCTGCTGGTTTCGTGCATAAGCGAGAACAAACAGGCACATACACATACAGAGACAGGCACACTCAAATGCATCGAAGTTGAAATATGACCTTAACTAACCAAATCACTTTATACTCGATCCAAGAGGCCAGATGTAGAATAAATATACCACTTTTTAGGGATTTGCCGGTGAGTTTTCTTGACTCGTTAGCTTGAATTTTGTTGTGAC